CTGGGTATTATTCAATTATTATTTGAAAATCGCACCCCTCCATCACATCACGCACACATGCATGTATAGGCTATAAGCTACACACCAGAGCACATGAGCAAAGCGGAGCAGTGATGCTTAAATATAAGTTTTAAAAAAACTAAACATACGTTTTCAGGGTTCCCGCGGATCCTTAAAAAGTTTATAAAAGTCTTAAATTAGATTTTTAAAATTTAAGGCCATAAAAAGTCTTATAAAGTCTTATTTTTACTTATGAAAGGTCTTAAATTTTAGATGACACTTTGACTTAGACATATCTAAAAGCTTTCCACATTAAAACCATCTAATAAGCGTACGTATTTTTATTTATTTATTATTCTATCTTTGTGGATTTGCTAGTTCACGTGACATTTCGCGTCACTCGCGAGTCGCGGCAGCATAACTGTCTCCTGCACGCGAGAGGAGAGAAGGAGAAGAGAGGTCGTAAATGTCAGTTCAGTTGTAAGTTCATTCTTTATGTGCGTATGGTGTGCGATGTGTATTGTCTTTTATGATATTGTAATCATTGTTTTAACAATGTACGAGGCACTGCGAGCTGACATCGCATTTGTCTCTTGTGCTTTCACTGCGTGATGTGTGCAGTGTAACTTATGTCCCCAAGTTAGTTTTTGTCTTATATTTATATCATATTATGTTCTTATATTAGAATATCACATCAGAAAGAGTGCCGTTTTCCCGTGCACAATTCCAATTGTGATATTTATGTTATACAACAGTTAAATTAACAATAAGTTAACATTGAGTTACTTTTTAGACACAATATTGTCAATATTGTTTGTTTTCCCTTTATTTCGCCGACTATAATTTCAAAATGCAACCGACAGCGATGATTTCTTGACTGAAATCCGCGTTTTGAACGAATCACTTGCTTCTTTCCCGAATGAATCAGCCGTTTGAACGAATCGGTTGAATGAATGACTCCCTCAACTCACTTATTAAGACAGTGATTTGCCGCTGCGGTTTCATATTTAAAGTACCATTTAAATAAAATGTTAAAATTAGAAATCATTTCATATTTAAATATTGAATATTGATTTAAAAATATATATCTCAGCTTTATTTATGCAGTTGTAAATGGAGTGTAAATAAATTAATGCCACTTCTGATGCCGCTTCTGTCGCCTCTGCACTGCAAAGATGGATTTTGATTAAATGATTTAATTTGACTGTAACAGTGGTACTGTATGATTATTATATAATTAAGTATTATTGTATAATTACTGTATAATTTAATTTGAATGATAGTATTTGACATTAAAGGTGATGCATAACTCTAAATAAGTTTAGAAAAAATGTCCATATATAGGTGAAAATGCCCCTGAAAAAATCAATTTAAGGTGGCAAATATTGCCCCTTAATTAAAATATTAATTTCTGTCACTGCTGTGAACTGACCACTGCATAGAATATGAAAAATATGAATATCTTCGTGAGGCAGCTGTCAACAACAGACCTAAACCAGCCATGGCACCAGCACAAAAACACAATCAGTAAAATATCATCTAATTATTATCAACAAAACGTTGAAAATATCAAGATATATTTTTGTCAATACTGCACAGCCCTAATGTACGGTATTAATTTTGATTTCCTCAGGTCTTAAAAAGGTCTTAAAAAGCCTTAAATTTGACTTTCAAAAGTGTGCAGGAACCCTGGTTTTATATGTAAGTTTCACAATATAATGTTTTTTATTTTTTATTTCATCTATGTTGATTATATGAAAAGGGAACCGCATGGGATGAGTCAGATATGATCATAATGCCCAATATATCGGAAAACATTTGGAATGGCTCAGACAGACATTTTGACCACTTATTAAGTTTTGTTTTGTAGAAAGCCTTTCAATAAAGTGAATTTAGTTTAGTATTGTGTCTTCATTTTAATCAATGTTTTATCAACAAATTGCCTGGAATACTAATAAATAAGCAGCAAATATATACAGGACACGGAGCCGCGGCCGCGTGAACTGGAGCGCGTCTTAGTAATCAACGAAACTCAGCGCAGGCTATAAGTTACTTGCCTCACATACATGAGAAGTATATCTACAGAAAGCTTGAAATATGTACTTTTAAACAAAATAATTAAAAACGAGCAAAAATGGGCTGCTCTCTGCTTATGTATAGGGTAATTCGTATGAAGTGTGCATTTCTCTCTATAGGCACGTTCTCTACTTCGAACATGGCGAGTCAGCATCATCAAATTTATCTTTGCAGTCGACACTTACAGAAAACACTAGTTTATTAATAAACAATTCAAATGTTTCATGCATAATCATTACTTTTGCCGTTTTTTTGTGGCAAGCTTTATGCGTGCGTTGTGATGCAGAATAGTCAATATATTACGAAAACGCCCATTATGGTTTAGCATTCTCTCCCATATAGTATATAACTTCCAACCCAACTTCAGTCGTGCACGGGCAGGGGCAGCCCTACTTATTTAACATATTTTCTAACCAGCACATCACTGCGGCGTTCTGAGCGAGCGGCGCCTAATCTTCATAAAGCTTCGAACCGGAAAAGGACAACCGGCTTCCGGTTCAAACCCGCTATGAATCATGGGTAAATTCGCTAACCAGGAAAAAGGTGGATAGTTAACGTCTTGAGTGACTGACTATATATATATATATATATATTGTTTGGACATGATCTTGAGGACCCCCATGAAAACGACGTGTTTCATCTCATGGGGCTGATCCTCTAATAAATGTTCATAAATAAATATATATAATTATGTGTGTGTTTTTTGTGTCAGATGAAGAAGATTGGTTTTGGGCGTAATGGTGTGCTCTTGAAGCCACGTAATGTGGCCCTGCTAACCTGGAGGAACACCCCAAACCCTGGCCTGGAAGAGGGCTCCGAATCTGAGACAAGCAGTAGCAGCCAGACCTCTGATGATGATGATACCTAATGTGGCTTTAACCACCACCCCCACATTTCCCTTTCTCTCAATCTGTCTCCTCCATCACACCCAGTTATTTCAAACTAAAAGAAGAGAGAAAAGATTATTTTCATGGACAAGGAACATCGGTCATATCCCAGGCGGAGAGAAAAAGAAATCACCTCATAGGCGATGTCTTTGTTTGATCCCCCATCCCCGTCTTTTCTCTCCTTGTCTGCTTTTTGTTCTTTATCCTGAACTAGAAATGTCAAAGAAAGCCACATGCACCCCTCCACCAGATCTTTTTTGTTTTGCTTGGGAAAAAGACTAATTCATAATAATAACACCAATTATAACCGTGATTTAACGTGAAATATGACATCATTCTGAATGTTCTATAAAATGGCTTTGACACCTTTCTAAAAGCTTTTTTTTTTCTTTTTCTTTTTTCTGGCGAAAGCAATTCGTAGCATTAGTGTTAAGATGAAACAATCATTGTGAGCCGCTGACTGCGACGTTGATCCCAGTCCCTCATAGAAATGAACTCAAGCCAGTCATCCCCGCAGCAAGGAAGAACTAAAGCAACACTGAATGGACTGTCACATGCAGTCTGGCAGCTAGAACATCAGTCCATTTCTGGCTCCAGTTTCAGCGAACCCTGCTCATTTTCACGCTTCTCATTCTGCAGAATCATACTAATATACCTGATTTCATATGTCTGCCAAGTACACATGTGAGAAAAAACCTTAAAGCTTGTTTAAAAGTTAGTTGCGGAAGAGTTTGTTGGGAACTGGTTTTTGAATAAAGGTAAAGTTTGGATGGAAGGGTCTATGTTTATGTTGCGTTCTGGTACGCCAGATGAACATACAGATGTTCAGTTCACTAATGTTGGGTTCTGTTTTGAAGTTAAAAAAATCATAAACCGACTGTCTTTCTTGCCCATATATGGTATAAAAGTTGGGTTTTTTCCTGAATAACCTAAAAGCTGTTTGATTTAAACCATATTGAAATCCTGAACATTTCCGAGTTCTATAAAAAGCGTTCTCGTGCTTATAGAAATAATGCTGTGGCAATCATTTTCAAAAGCTTTACATTCATTGCATGTGGATTGATAAGGGTATTGATAAGGTATTCAATAAACACAAGAAAGGTTTGATTAACTTATTCCCTCACAAATCCCAAATAAAATCTACCCAATGGAATATAGAAGGCATTAAACATTTTTGGGCTTATGTAATGTTTACAATGCAGGAATTAATCCGATGTCTGGTTTGTAATGACTGTGAACTTTCTTTGAGGGATTCAGTAAGATGGCTTGCACTTTTTGTTCTGCTATGTTGTTCCTTAAACCGTTCATTTTGGGAGCTGAGTTCTATCCCTGCTGCTGGCAGTGAAGTAGAGATCCATCTTTAAAAGTTCTTTATTTCATGAGGGACTGCTGGTGTAAATTGTGCATCTCCTTTTTTTTGTACCTTGTTTTTTCTGATAGGGTATAAAATTGCTTTATCACAGATTTAAGTTTCTTTTTTAATTTTGGTACAGCTGTAAAAATTCCCACATAAATAGTTTTTTTTCTTCTTCTTTTGTTTGCATTATATTGTTTCTGCAGCCTTGATATTCAGGGTGGATTGTAAAAAAAAAAATATAAGAATAAAAAATTGTGAGTTTTGGAAGATTAAGATTATTTTGATAACATTATTTACAGATTTGAGAAGATGAAAGGTGTCCTGTATGGGTGTATCTGTATGAGACAAAGCAGGCATAAACTACTGCATCACAATGAAAAGATCGGAGAAAAGAATTGTAATAAATATTTTGCATCAGTTTGCCAAACATGTCCAGCCTTTCGTTTTCTGCTGAAACACTTAGGAAACATTTTTTTATGTGTTACTGTTATATGCATGGAAAAGAAAAACATAATAAGCTTAAAAATATTCAAGGGTTTGATTCCTCTTGCTCTTAACTTCCCTTCTTCACCACTCCCCTTTCTCCAAGGTGATCGTATCCAACAAACAAAACTTCAGTCAACAAATACAGTACATGTAACTTGAGGCAGACGTTCCAGGTTCCAACATATTCCATTTTTTTAAGAATCACCCAATTTGTGGTCTAGATTTTGTTTCAAGTTTAAATAGGGAGTAATTGTTGGAGGGATGGAAGGTTTGGGGCAGTTCATTTGTCAGAATTGTAACATGGCATTTCATTCTGCTGGACTCTTGGATAAACACAAGGCCAAATTCTGCATTGGCACAGACTTAAAAGATCCAATAGCTCTATGGAGAGGACAAAGGGGATTCACACAAACAGAAAACGCAGCTCTGAAGACGGTGCATCCCAAAAGGGCAAGGACACCTGATTTGATTGTTGTAAGTTGAATATTACTTAATTATTCCAACAATGAAAAAACTAGTTAATTTATTTACATATATATAATTTGAATAAACAATTCTATATTGTTTTCCATTTCATTATGTCCCTTTATACACTAATGTTCAAAAGTGTTGGGTCAAGATTTTTATGAAAGTATCAATACTTTAATTTAAAAGGATGCGTTAAATTGTAATAAATGCTGTTCTTTTGAAACGTTCTGTTCATCAAAGAATCTTGAAAAAAAGATCAGTTTTCACAAAAATACCAAGCAGCACAACTGTTCTGTCTAAGATTGATAAGACATTTTTCTTGAGCACCAAATAGCATATTAGAATGATTTATGAAGAATCGTGTGACACTGAACACTATGTAGTAATGACTGCTGAAAATTAAACTTTGCCTGAATTTGCCTGTAATATGAAATACATTTCATATTACAAATTTTTTTTTTAAATTAACAGTTATTTAACATTTTAATTTAAATAGTTCTATTGTAATTTTAGAATAATAATTAAAAACAACTCTTAGCTACTCCAAAATTTGGAACAGTAACGCAAGTAATACTGAATGTTTGCTTGTTCCATTGGCAGTTGAAAGAACAGAGAAAGTGCCAAGTGGATCAGAGAGAGAGTTCACAGGAAAATACTGCTCTAAACAAACTCACTGAAGAGGTACAGGACCACATACAAAGATACTAAATCTCAAGTTCAAAGAGGTTTTACGCAGCATCTGATGATCTTCTGTTTTAGTTTCGAAAACTCAGGATCTCATTTGAACACAACCAGCCCAGAAGACAAACAGAGGTCAGTTTAATATGCTTAGTTTTTTTAATCTGTTTAGATTGTGAATAGTGTTTGTATTATCAGTATTGGACATTGTGTAAGTGTTCTTCAGGTCTCTGAGGAGCAGGGCTCACTCCAGCAGAAGGCTGATGAACAGAGGGCCATTGACTTATATAAAGATCATGAGCAGAGACTGGCTGAGATCAGGGCGCGCAACCATCAGCTGGAGAAGGAGAGAGAGGGTAAGCTGTGGAATGTTGGGAAGTAACGTTAGCTATGTTAAAAGAAAGCTACACTCTTAAAATAAAGATTCTTATGCTTTCACGAAGAACCTCTTACATCCATGGAACCATCACATTGCACAAGGTTCTTTATGAAAAAAGTTCTTATTAATGTTCTCCACACTAAGGCAAAAATGGTACTTTTCAAAGCTGTTTACTGAAAGATACGGAGCCTCCTAAAGGGACATCATGGTAAAAAAAAAAAAAAAAACAATGCTTTTGCGTTCTCGTAACCGTTTTACGTTTCCCCGAAAAACTTTGTTCTCTTACGAGAGTATCTCTCGTACTGCTTAATATCTTACGCTATGGGGAAAACCTCTTTTCCACGAGATATTGAAGCCAAAAATTATCCTTAATTTTGAATGAATGTTAAACGCTGTGCGGCAGCAAGCAGACATAGGCAAGACGGCTCGCGCGCCTATTGGCTGCCCTGCGGCAACAGCAGCAGCCTATCGAGAGAGGCCCTGCGTGACATGATACCCAATGGGGGCGCTTCGCGCCCATTTCGTCACGTCCCGCCAGAATAGGCGTGGCCTTGGCCTATAAATACGCTCAACAGGCTGATACAAACTGATTTTCATCTCTTCAGCGAAGCACTACTGCATCGCTGGATCCGGAGTGAGAAGCCGCGCCGTCTGAAAGTAAGCCTTCTGAGGGACGAGCCTTCGAGCCTGAAGCCGCTGGCCTTCACCTCGCTGCCTTCAGCCGCCGTACCTGCTACGCTTTCCCGGCGTTAATATCTTTTTTCACTGCTAGAGTGTGTGTTCGCCGCTGTGACTCACACTCTCCCTCTGTCTCTACATTCTAAAAGAGCTAGCGTCTGGACGGCGAGCACAGACGGTGTTGCCATCTAAAGCCTGCCGAGTGACGTCAGCCATGCACGGTCGTGCTTACACCGCCACCGGGCAAGCTGTATCGGCACTACACACAATGGCCATCCTGCAGATCTTCCAGGCCGACCTTCTCCGAAAAATGGACGAGGAAGGCGCGGGATCGATCAGCGTTGCGGATTTAAGGAGCGCTACAGACCTGGCACTACACGCCGCTAAATCTGCTGCACAGGCCGTTGGGCGGAACATGGCCTCTCTCACCGTGGCTGAGAGACACTTGTGGTTAACGCTGTCTGAGATGACGGATACGGAGCGATCTGTGTTTCTCGACGCGCCCATTTCGTCAGCGGCCCTCTTCGGATCTGCCGTCAAAGATTTCGCGGACAGATTCCAGGAGGTTCAAAAGACATCGCAGGCTATGAAGCACTTCCTCCCGAAGCGCTCTAGCTCCGCAGCAGGTCGCTCGAAACAGCCGTCTGCCCGTAGCTCACAGCCACAGCCTGCACCACCCGCCGCCGCTTCTCAGCGCCGCCAGGCCCGAGAACAGAGACCGCGCTCTCGCTCTGCTGGACGCCGCCCCCCTCAGCAAGGGCCCCGGCCGAGGATCGAGATCAAGCCCGAGGTCTCAAAGCCTTCCTAGACATCCTAGGAAAGCGACGGTGTTCAAATCTCGCTGCGGCCGGATTTTCACCGAAACATTTCGCTCGTCCAGTTCCATTCGATGTGACTGTTCCAGCGTATTTAGCAGGCAACAAGCCGGTTCATTTGCCCGCTTGCCTGCACACAAAAGCCGTTTTTACGGCTACCCAGATAAATCCAATAAAAAGTGTAGGGCCTGCTTCGCATGCGCCCACTGCAGTTATGGCTGAAAGCGCGAGTTCCGCCCCGGGCATGGACCTCAGGGTCAATAGAGTAGTGGACCTTCCGCCCCGGGTCTGTTTTGCCTCAGGGTCGACATGAAATGCGTTTCGGCTCTGGAACCTTGGAAAATAGCCGACTGGTATCAGTCAGGCGTGAGTCTGGGGACTCCCTCGAGTGTGATGGTGGTGTCCACGGACGCCTCCACCTCGGGATGGGGAGCGCTGCTCGAGGGCAGACCGTTCTTTGGCCAGTGGTCGGAACTGGAAAAGCTTCTACACATAAACTGTCTGGAAATGCTGGCAGTCGACAACGCGCTACGGCGTTTTTGTCCCCAGATAAAAGGCCACCACGTCCTAGTCCGGTCGGACAACATGTCAGTGGTGGCATACATAAATCGCCAGGGCGGCGTCAGGTCCCGAAACCTTTATAGGCTGACGGAACGCCTCCTGGTCTGGGCTCAGCACAACCTGCTTTCACTGAAAGCAGCGCATGTGCCTGGTCACCTGAATCACCCCAAGAGCAGGGATGCGCTGGCCCACGTATGGCCCCGCTGCCCCCTCTATGCTTTTCCCCCCGTCTCGCTCCTGGCTCAAGTGCTGGAACGAATCAGGGAAAACGGATACCCAGTGCTGCTCGTGGCTCCGCTCTGGACGAACCAGATTTGGTTCCCAGTCCTGATGCGGCTGACCAGCACTGCCCCGTAGCCTATACCGGTGAGGAGAGACCTCCTCTCTCAGGCAAAGGGCTCGATTTGGCAACCTCGCCCGGATTTATGGTCCCTACATGCATGGGCCATCAACGGGTACCCGCTAACCTCCCGGAGGGAGTGTTAAACACGATCATGCAGGCTAGGGCCCCATCTACTAGACGGCTCTACTCCTCGAAATGGTCAGTGTTCTCTACCTGGTGTCAAGCTCAGGGCTTTTCACCTGTAGACTGCGGGGTTACGGAAGTGCTCTCCTTCCTTCAGGAGCTGCTGGATAAGGGTAGAACCCCGTCCACGCTCAAAGTATACGTGGCGGCCATAGCGGCGTTTGCAAAACTGACGTCTGGCCAGTCACTGGGGAAAAACGACCTGGTCGTGTGATTCCTCAGGGGAGCTCGGAGGCTGAATCCTCCCAGACCCCTCTCAGTCCCTGTGTGGGACCTTTCCACGGTTCTGGAAGCCATGAAAGGTGCCCCATTTGAGCCAATCCATTTGTCAGACATGAAACACCTGTCTTTCAAAACGGTATTTCTTGTGGCTCTTGCTTCAATGAAGCGCGTAGGGGACTTACAAGCGCTTTCAGTAAGCGCGTCATGTATGGAGTTTGGGCCTAATGACTCAAAGGTCATACTCAAACCAAGGCACGGGTACGTGCCCAAATCCCTCAACACACCGTTCAGGGCCCAGGTTATTTCCCTTTGCGCCCTCCTGGAGAATAATGAGGAGGCGGATGCTAATCTCCTTTGCCCCCTCAGGACACTGAGAGCTTATGTGTACCCCTCGTCTGTCTTCAGACAGACCGAGCAGCTCTTTGTTTTGTTTGGCAAATGCTCCAAGGGACTGGCCGCATCAAAACAGAGCCTATCCAGATGGATAGTCGATGCCATAGCGCTAGCTTACACTTCTAAGGGCCTGCACTGTCTTTTGGGTGTCAGAGCGCACTCCACGAGAGGCGTGGCCTCGTCGTGGGCGTGGTCTAGCGGGATCTCCTTGCATGATATCTGTATGGCGGCGGGCTGGGGCTCGCGTCTACATTTATAAGGTTCTATAACCTAGAGGTTCCCGCCTTATAGGCCAAGCTGCTGTCGGTCTAGAATTCAGTACTATCTGCCCCGCTGCGCCGGCGCAGAATGCGGAGTTTTTTGCTTGAGCATCGCTCACTGATCGATAGAACAGCTCCATGGGTGTTGAATAACCCGTACTTATACCCAGTTCAGGCTGAACACGTTCACCCTGTCTGCGTGAAACACTGTTAACATAACTAGCTCCTGTGGAAGCTATTTCATGGAGGATGATGCTTGTAGCCTCTCTTCTCCGACTCTCTGTGAGTCTACGGTGATTATGCACTATATGAGCCCCGGGCTACTGCCCTTGGGACTTTGGTGTCGGATCCCAGTACGCACGGCGTGTTGCATTGTGTTCCCCATAGCGAAATATATTACGCAGTACGAGAGATACTCTCGTAAGAGAACGTACTCGGTTACTAACATAACCTTGGTTCTCTCTAGAGAGGGAACGAGTACTGCGTATCTTGCCGTGCATACAACAGCGCTGGTTCGCTTCAGTGATGAAAACCAGTTTGTATCAGCCTGTCGAGCGTATTTATAGGCCAAGGCCACGCCTATTCTGGCGGGACGTGACGAAATGGGCGCGAAGCGCCCCCATTGGGTATCACGTCACGCAGGGCCTCTCGTTAGGCTGCTGCTGTTGCCGCAGGGCAGCCAATAGGCACGCGAGCCGTCTTGCCTATGTCTGCTTGCTGCCGCACAGCGTTTTACATTAATTCAAAATTAAGGATAATTTTTGGCTTCAATATCTCGTGGAAAAGAGGTTTTCCCCATAGCGTAAGATATTACGCAGTACTCGTTCCCTCTCTATAGAGAACCGAGGTTACGTTAGACAAATATTTACATATATTATTAACATGTAATAATGACACCTTAAAATAAAGTGTAGCTAACCAATGTTTTTAACTGTTAATCATTTTCAAACATTTTAACCAGGCAGGGTTAACCTCAACACTGATTACTGTCACACTTACAGAATCCTTCCTCACTTGAATTAAGATTATTTAATCTTAAAGCACAGCCACAACAAAATCAGACTTTAGCACCTCTTTCTACTTTGAGATCGTTCTGAGGTTAAATACTGATTTCTGGAATGCATTTTTATCACTCGCCATGGTGGCTAACTCTCAAGACAAGGTTGTCTGAAATGATGTCACATTGTTTCACTTAGCAAAAACCCATGCCGTGCCCGTGATTGTTTGAAACCCCTCAAATACTTTAAAGGCAAAGGAACGTGTTAATTAGTTAATTAGTGGGCGGCGCTGCGCAGATCTGTGAATGACATCAAAATACCACGATAGCGATTAGAGAGCAAACGGAGCCGTATGCTTTGGAATCGCTCTCGCTGTACTTTGATGTCCTACATCGATCGATCTGTGCAGCGCCGCTTCAAGTCGAACACGCCTTCCGTTCATTTGTTCTGCGCTACTCTTTGTGATAAGAAATGTTTCTTGAGCACCACATCAGCATATCAGAATGATTTCTGAAGGATCGTGTGACACTGAAGACTGACTGTGGAAGGCATAGCTTTGCCATCACCGTTTTCTATTTTTCATAAAATAGAAAACGGTTATGTACATGTTAATGTTCATTTGTTCTGCACTACTCTATTGATGACGTGTTTATCCCAGATATCGAACAGAGGCTTGCCGAGCTGGGAGGGCGGGAGAGGACGGCTCATCTAGAGGAAGTGCTGCAAGAGCTGAGGAGTCAGGAACAGAGGAACGAGGAGGTGCTGCATCAGCTCAGCTCTCACATCAACTCAATGAAGGGGTAAGAGAGAGTGGAGGGAAACCAAGTGTTCCAAGAAGCTAGCAATCACTTTATGCATGTTTATACTGTACTGATATTGTAGGTTTAATCAAAATGAAGTCCAATCTAACCCACCAGAGGAAAAGAAGACCCATGTCTTGATCTGTTCTGTGGACGGACCCCTCTCCGCTCAGATAAGGTCTTTTTTTAACTCATGTTTTTTTTTATGATAAATGAGAAAGTGAGAAAAACATGTACTTACATTGAAAGAAGTATGCAAACCATATAGGGACAATAATATTGACTGTGGCCAGTTATGAACTGAAAAACCCTAAGCAACATAGAAATCACTTAATCACCCAATACAACCAATACAACCCAATAGTGCCATCTTAGCAACCATTCCGAACAACACACTAGCACTGTGGTGGATTTCTTTTTGTAACAGAGCTTTGCGTCTGGCATACATGCAGTCTGGTGGTTCTGATCCAGAGGTTCTGGCCCACATGCATGACCTTCAAGCAGAAGCTCATACACTGGAGCAGGCAAGACCTCGAGCTGACGGCAAGACAAAAGGAAGAAGTGAGTAGTAAAGACAATGAACTCTGGCTGCAAATAGTAATTGGACACTTACACTACCGTTCAAAAGTATGTTTTTTTTTTTTTTTTTTAAGAAATTAATACTTTTATTTAGCAGGGATGCATTAAATAGATCAGTAAAATACATTTGCATGGTTACAAAAGATTTATATTTTAAATAAATATTGTTCTTTTGAACTTTCTATTCATCAAAGAATCCACATGAAAGATAAATCAGAACATCTGTTTTCAACATTGATAATATTAAATGTTTATTGAGCACCAAATCAGCATATTAGAATGATTTACAGTGAAGACTGGAGTTATGGCTGCCAATTTTCTTCTTTTTTTTTCATCACAGGAATAAATTACATTTATATATTAAAATAGAAGATAGTTCTGTTAAATTGTAATAATATTTCACAATATTATTATTTTACCATATTTTTTATCAAATAAATGCAGTCTTGGTAAGCATGAGACTTATTTCAAGAACACTAAAAAAATCTTACCAACCTCAAACTTTTGAACGGCAATGTCGGTTTGTCAACTGTTAAGAGTACAAATAGTTTTCACGAGTTCGCCGACCCATTCAGTCTTGATAGTTAATGGTTAACGAACTTGGCTTACTGTCCTCAAAGGAGGCTCGATCCCTGAGCTTATAACAGTATACTGTGCAGAGGAAGAATAACAGAAATAGAGGAGGAGATGGGGAGGAAGCGCAGAGACTGCTGCTTATATATGTTCATGATTGACAGGACTGAATGTTTAGGCTCCTCCTGAACCTACTCTTGGTACTTGATTTAATTTTGAACAGTGTATTATATTTTATAATCTAATGCTATTACATTAATAGATTTTTAAGTGTGGCTTAAGCGTCTGCATACTTTACAGTACACTATTCTTTCAAGCCCCAGGGTCATTTCTCATTTCTGTCCCAACCAGGGATGAAGTCTCCTCACAGAGTGTTGGACCCTGATGTTCTTGCTGTGGAGCAGGAGAACCAAAAGCTTGAGGAGGAAATCCTCAGAATCCAGCTGGCCAGGGAGAGGCACAAAGGAGAACACGGTATCTCTGTTCCTCACATGATAAAAAATAAAGTGATGTGAAACTTTTCATAGAAAACATGTTCATTTTGTATGTGTTCTAATTTGTATGCTTATACTATGGACTAAAAGTATATTAATATTTGATATTGTTTTAATATTTTAAACATATCTGAATACTTAAATACATTATTTGAATATTTGATATTATATTGATCAGGGCTCATTGATATCCAGAAGGACCACATCCATCAAATGGCTAGCCTCCAAGCTGAGATCTCCTTTCTAAAAAGAGAAATAGACAAGAGGCGAGACAGAAGACCACACCATCCTATGTTTCCTGGATCTTCTATGGCCCACTCACACTCTGCTCTGACACTGGTGGGCTGACAGTTAGCCGAAGCTTAATTCACTGTGTTACTGACAGTGACAGGTAATGTAATGTACACTCACCTAAAGGATTATTAGGAACACCATACTAATACTGTGTTTGACCCCCTTTCCCCTTCAGAACTGCCTTAATTCTACGTGGCACTGATTCAACAAGGTGCTGAAAGCATTCTTTTGAAATGTTGGCCCATATTGATAGGATAGCATCTTGCAGTTGATGGAGATTTGTGGGATGCACATCCAGGACACGAAGCTCCCGCTCCACCACATCCCAAAGATGCTCTATTGGGTTGAGATCTGGTGACTGTGGGGGCCATTTTAGTACAGTGAACTCATTGTCACGTTCAAGAAAACCAATTTGAAATGATTCGAGCTTTGTGACATGGTGCATTATCCTGCTGGAAGTAGCCATCAGAGGATGGGTATATGGTGGCCATAAAGGGATGGACATGGTCAGAAACAATGCTCAGGTAGGCCGTGGCATTTAAACGATGCCCAATTGGCACTAAGGGGCCCTAAAGTGTGCCAAGAAAACATCCCCCACACCATTACACCACCGCCACCAGCCTGCACAGTGGTAACAAGGCATGATGGATCCATGTTCTCATTCTGTTTACGCCAAATTCTTACTCTACCTTCTGAATGTCTCAACAGAAATCGAGACTCATCAGACCAGGCAACATTTTTCCAGTCTTCAACTGTCCAATTTTGGTGAGCTCTTGCAAATTGTAGCCTCTTTTTCCTATTTGTAGTGGAGATGAGTGGTACCCGGTGGGGTCTTCTGCTGTTGTAGCCCATCCGCCTCAAGCTTGTGCGTGTTGTGGCTTCACAAATGCTTTGCTGCATACCTCGGTTGTAACGAGTGGTTATTTCAGTCAAAGTTGCTCTTCTATCAGCTTGAATCAGTCGGCCCATTCTCCTCTGACCTCTATAGCATCAACAAGGCATTTTCGCCCACAGGACTGCCACATACTTGATGTTTTTCCCTTTTCAACACCATTCTTTGTAAACCCTAGAAATGGTTGTGCGTGAAAATCCCAGTAACTGAGCAGATTGTGAAATACTCAGACCGGCCCGTCTGGCACCAGCAACCATGCCACGCTCAAAATTGCTTAAATCACCTTTCTTTCCCATTCTGACATTCAGTTTGGAGTTCAGGAGATTGTCTTGACCAGGACCACACCCCTAAATGCATTGAAGCAACTGCCATGTGATTGGTTGATTAGATAATTGCATTAATGAGAAATTGAACAGGTGTTCCTAATAATCCTTTAGGTGAGTGTATGTTGAGTTAATGTGATATTTAAGGATCCACAGAATTCTGTCTGATACTATTTTAATGGTATGTCTATAACCGATGAATGGCTGATATTAAAATTCGATATTGTATTAAATAAATCTAAATAAGTAAATGAGCTGTTTTAAATGCTGCAAGTAAATTTAGGCATCACAACAGTAAATATAGAATGAAAAATGGATATTCATTTTGAAAATCGCAAAGATTCCATTTAGGAATGCTATTAAAATATTAGTGTTTTTAAAGATTAACTTTAGGTGAGTGGTAGAGGATGGCAGTATCCAATAATAATAATACAAATATCTCATATCAGCCAATAACCAATGTGGTACCAATATATTGTTCATTGCTAATGATATTTACCGTTCAAAAGTTTGGGGTCAGTAGATTTTTTGTTTTGTTTTTGAAAGATCTGTTATGCTCATCACGACTGCATTTATTTGATCAAAAATACAGTAAAAACAGTGAAAATATCGTGAAACATTATTTACTGTTTTCTATTTTAATATATTAGTGTAATGTACTGTATATTATATGTATTTATTAGATTAGTGTATGTTATATGTGGTTTATTCTTGTGATGGCAAAGAATATCTGAATGTCTAGTGTCACATATTCCTTCAGAAACCATTCAAATCAACCATTCTTATTATAATCAATGTTTACATTTTTCTGACACCATCATTTTTTATCAATATAAAGGTCAAAAGAATAGCATTTATTTAAAATAGAAATATTTTGTAACGATATATAAATGTCTTTCTTTACTGTCATTTTTTAAAATCTTTTTAATGCATCCTTGCTGAAGAATTCTTACAGACCCCAAACTTTTAAATTGTAGTGTATGTATATTTTGTTTTTACCAATATTGCAGGATCAGAGTTCAAAACAGCATTCATTAATGGGTTCCCATGTAACTGATCCGATGGAACCTCTTGGTCCAGCTCCTTATGATCCTGTGTAAGACAAATTTTCTCTCGGGTTACTTTTCTTTTTCTTACTTAGTCCCTATAGATGAATGCACGTAACACTAAATGCATTACAATATGATTTAAATCTTGCGATTGTCTGAATGTGTGTAGGGCTGGCTTTGTGATCTTCTATGACCTGGTGATGGGTTTAGAAGCTACTTTGAGATCAGTGCGCTTGTTGGAAGGGTTATACTGTAATGGGGAGAAGTTGGGACATACCACCCCAATGCCACCTGTGCAGTGCCAACCATTACTCTCCACCAAGAGTCCTGGAAACTATGCCATACTGGCTGTTAAACAGCCTGTGCCAAGGTAGTTTGGTTCAGATATTAATATGGACAGAGTGGATATATGTTTACATGATTGAATTTGTGCTTCATTTCAGAGTACAACCATCTCCAAATCTCACTTTGGTCTTGGAGATTCAGACTTCTAGAGGTCTCCATTTGTACAACTATGAAACTAAGGACTTGGTTACTTGTGGCTGGGCTAAACTTGAACTTTTTGACGAGCACAACCAGGTGCACAGTGGTCACTGGAGGCTTCCCTTCCGCTCTCTCCCAGTTCAAGCGTCCCTAAGTCCAGTTCAACTGAATTCTGTGTCTCAAGTATGTTCACCAAATCTTAAGAGCTTAAGAGACTCATTAGACTTTTGAAGTCTTTAGTCTAGGTTAAATGCCCACAGAGCTCTAATTTAAATCAGACTAAACTGTTTCTTTCTTTCTAAGCTGGGTAACATGGAACTCTGTCTTCGGGTAGCAAACGCTTGTCATGGAGATGTACAGACTCTTGCAAAGATTGACATCAACAACACCAACCAATACAAGTACCCATCAATGGTATGCAAAATGTTTATCAAGATATTTCCAGATCTAAAGATGCTTTTTAATAGCAAAGCTTACAAAGGTTTTGATGAGCCTATACAGTAGGGGTGTCCAATTCTGCTCCTGGAGGGCCACTGTCCTGCGGAGTTCAGGTCCAACTCCAATTAAACACACTTGGACAGCCAATCAATGTCTTACTAGGCATACTAGAAACGTCCTGGCAGGTGTGTTGAGGCAAGTTGGAGCTAAACTCTGCAGGACAGTGGCCCTCCAGGACCGAGTTTGGGCCTACAGCTTAATAAATGTGTCTTGTTTAGGTGGTCTCAAACACATCTGCAATCCTGGCAACGCAAGAACCATCTCACACATTACAACCCTCAACCAATCCTTTACCTTCATCACTGCCACAGACAGATCATGTCGAGGAGTCCAATTATATTTGAACGACTTGAATTGATTACTGTACAAATAAAGTTTGCTGTAACTTCACACAAATTGTATTTCAAGTGACTATACAGATCACACATCTGTTACGAATTATTGCATTTTTAAATCACGTTTCATTTACCTGTGTACATTTGTGCTTTTTGGCATCACACTGATCTAGAAACAATTATGCATGCACAGGGGTTGGACAATGAAACTGAAACACCTGGTTTTAGACCCCAATCATTTTTTAGTATGGTGTAGGGCCTCCTTTTACAGCCAATACAGCATCAATTTATCAATTTAGACAGTCCGTCACAGTGGCCAGAGGGATTTTGAGCCATTCTTCTTCCAGAACTGTGGCCAGGTCATTATGTGATGCTGATGGAGAAAACATTTCCTGACTCGCTCCTCCAAAACACCCCAAAGTGGCTCAATAATATCAACATTTGGTGACTGTGCAGGCCATGGGAGAACCTCACTTTCGTGTTCATCAAACCTTTCTGTCACAAGTCTTGCTGTGTGTATGGGTGCTTTATCAGGCTGATACACGGCATCCCTCTTCAGGGTACAATGTTTGAACCATTAGGTGCACATGGTCCTCCAGAATGGTTTGGAAGTTCTTGTCAGTGACGCGACCATCAAGCATAGCGGCGAATGCCATGATGTTCCAGTCCAACAAGTGACCAAAGGATTGGCTATAGCAGCCCGACCATTGACCTGTTGAGCTCCCGATGAACAGGTTTGGTGGAAACAGGCCCAGTCAATGTGTGCATTTAATTCTGCAGTGAGTTGGGCAGCAGTGGTTTTGTTTTTTTGGATACAATCCGGGCTAGTACCAGGACCACCCTTTCAGACAGCTTCCTCTTGTGTTGAGTTACTCCTGTTGGATGTGGTTCGTCCTACTTGGGGGTATGCCGAGATTATCCTGGATACCATAGTCTCGATACACCACAAAGATTTGCTGTCCTGGTCACAGATGAGCCAGTGAGATGCGCACCAGCAATTTGCCTTCTTTTGAACTCTATATCTCCCATTATATTGTGTGGATTGCATTATTTTATTTACAGCTGTGCTAATTTAAACCTCCAACACTATATTGGCCAGTTTCAGTTTCATTGTTTAACCCCTGTAAGCAGGGTTTGAAATTAACACCAGTAAACACACCAAATAAGGGTGAAAATCCTGTGGCAGGTAACGCATTTCAACACACTAGCCAATTTGCAGAGTTATGATTCATAAATTATGTTCTTTGTAAATGTCTCTATGTAAATTACATGCAGCACTTGCATGGCATCGCTATCAGCCCTTCCTCTAAAAAGAGCCTCAAACATTAGAAAAACACATAAAAAGGGTCGCACATCTAAAGAATCGGCGCACAGTGCCACGTCTTTAAAATGTTAACATTTTCTATGACCTCACACCCACCAGCAGCACCCTACGACACGAGCAGTTCAAAATCACGCCACTCACATAGCTATTCATTAAAATACAATGATATAGGACAAAGATATACATACTGACTTGCACGTTTTTTTTTTTTTCAAAGACCTTAATTCAAACTCATTGACGCCACTTGTTCATTCTTGAAGTGAACTTTTTCCTATTGTGATTAGTTTCACTGTTTTGGACTATAGCCTTGAACTTAACACAAGTACAGAATGGCATGTCCACAGCACGAGACCAGTTCTAGCCGCCAGAGCCCTACAGTATAGGAGACACTAAAACGGCCATTTTTCCAACCCATTCTCAAATGCAGCATGTCCAAGAAACCCTAGCGTCTATTGTATATGTGCAAGTAAGCTCATGGAAATAAGTCAGATAATTTAATTATTTTTGATTGGCATCCACTCAGTAAATTCGATTGGCTGTCGTAAAATTGAAAGCAATACAGATATTTCAGAATCCAAGCTGTGATTGATCTAGTTTATTTTTGTGGTGGCTGGTAGAAGTTCTGAATGGCTGCCTGGTAACTTAATTTAAGCTGGTGAGTGGAAAAGTTAATTTCAAACCCTCCCTGTATGTGAAGACTAAAGTCTTTTTTTTTTTTTTTTTAAAGAACATGTGAAACAGCACATCTTATAGCTAATATAATTTAACTGTTGAGGAGTTCAGTCCAATTAATTTATGATTCCATTGGAACTCGTTGCATTTAGAGCAGAACATTCTTTACAAAAGAAATGGGGGGGGGTAAAGGATTAAGAGCCCACATGTTCACATATGCAAATATCCTTTATTGAAAGTTTACTACAATTATACAAAAATTGGACAAAGAAAACTGGTTATTTACAGTACAGAGACAAGTTGTTCATGAGTAGTATATGATGCAGGCATGCTCTGCTGGTTGAAAGGTAAGAGGTCAATCAGAGGAAGTCCATCACGCTGAGGTCTTCACAGAGGAAGAATTGGCTGACTACAAGAGAAAATAAAAACCATTAAAAAAAAAAAAAAAAAAAAAAGGCACTAAATTGATGTTGCTCAAAGTTAAAGCCCAAGACAATTCTCCAATCAACACATTAAATGCAAGATAAAGAATTGAGCATCCTCAGACACAGGACTTCACTAGTATGGGTACATGAGTAAATATGCACCCAGATGAATAAGTCCTGAAGTTTTTGTTTGACTATCTTTGTATTCTATTAAATAAGATTACAACTCCATTTTAGTTTTAGAAACTTCACAATTCCAATCTTGATACCACAGTAAAAACTAAAACTAGCCTACCTAAAATAAATGCTCAAATTATTAAAAGTAAACAGTAAGATCAAAACAAGCAATATCACATTAATACAAAAGATAAAAATGAGATGCTTTAAAGTTTTTCCAGGTAGGTAGTAATAGTATACAGGTAAGAAACAGCCTACTACAGAAATTGTATGTAATCAGTGTACAAACAAACACTGCACAGTCTTGACTGTATTAAACCTACACAGACTCTTAATGCTACAGTAGGCAGTCAAGAGCAGAGCACAAGATGCAAAGGAGAACTTGCATTCGTTGTGCATGCGCACAGACAAACCAAGTAAAGAATAGTTCTTTCGCGTCTTAAGTATGAATGGCTTAAAAATCACTTAATATAAAAATTGACAAGACTTAAGTGTGAAAATTATCAACTTTTTTTGATGCAGCAGTGACAGTTTCTGTCCACTGTCCAGAGCATCTTTCACACGGGCCCCTGGGCCATCGAACATTCCTTGCGGTCAAGCCCTGTGACCCTCTTAGAGGAAACAGCAAGCCTATCAACTCGCCTCCTGCTCCATTTTCTCCTGGACTCCATTGCCGTTGTGGCCGGAGTCATCACTGCCATTAACTGAGGTCTCCTGTTTTGTCTTTTTAGCATCACTGTCCTTTTTTGGACTCTCCTCGTCTGGTTTCCTCTGTGCAGGAACAAAGCAGGACAGAACACGTACTTTATTTTTTTGCGCTGAACACCTATTCTCTACATGCTACTCAAGCATACATGGCCACTTCAAAACCATGCCAGAACTACAATATGCCAAGCCACAATATTGAAGCACAGTCACCACAGAAACACCGAGCAACACCAAATCTAGTTGGAAAATTCAGCTCATGATCCAACATGCATGATTGCAATCAGCAAAGGGAAGGTAGCAAAGCAGATGCTCCTTCAAGGGCAGACTACTCTCATGCAATCCAGTTAATGAACTTTAATCATGCTAGTTTATCCACCTCTACCGCAAAAGATTAAAGCAAATTGCAGTGGATGGATACAAACCTTTTTGCGGACAAGGTGAGAAATATCAGATGCAGATTTTGAGGAAGACGCACCATCAGCTGGCTTCACAGGAATCTGAAATAAAACAGGCATTTTAAGGGTGCGCAATATTGGTGGTTGACTGATACATCAGCTAATATTTGGCACTCAAGTTATCAGCACTGGCAAATAAGTGTCCGAATCAGCTTTTAATTTGACAGCACTAAGAAAACCATATCTTTAAAATCTTGATATCAAATTTCTTACATCATAAGCATGTATATGTCCCTGGCTGTGTCTGAATAGCCCCCTATATGGTCCAATCTGGGTACAGCATAGTAATATACAGGTATAAATTAGAGATGCACCGATGTGTCGGCCGTTGATATTTATTGGGCAATTTTTGTTGAATTTAAAGCCACCAGGAACAGCACGAAAAGGCGATTCCGATGGTTTATTAACTGCATGTGAAGGCAATGAGTTGCATGTCTGTTGCATAATCCAACGTTTTTCTCTGGGTAAAAAAAAAAAAACAAATACGTGCCAAAACAAAGGAATTCTGTACAAAATATAGTTTGTCACATGCGTAAAAAAAAAAAAAAAAAAAAAAAAAAAAAAAAAAAAAAGGGGGGTTGTACTAGCACCTCCATCTCAACATACTTTACAGCGCGAAGTACATTCACATCACGTTCACGCAGAGGTAGAGTTACTCACGAGACACCGCAATTCACAAAAGTTCATTATGCATGTGCTTTAAAGCCTTGCCGGTTAAACATTGCATTCGCGTGCCGATGCGCAGTTCTAACATGCGCTTTTCTGAGCACATTCACCCGAAGAGCACAGGCACTTAAAAGCCTGCCAAACAGCGCCTGGTTAATGGACTAATTTATCTTTTGAGTCTTATTGCTAGGTTTACATAAACAGTTGGTTATGTCCAAATACCCACGCACAGGAGGTACACAAAGCATCAACACACCTGACTAGCAGAAGACGAAGACGGGTCACCATTTTCAGCTGGGAAAGCAGATGACGTGGATGCTCCTGCCTGTAACAAACAAGTTACAAACTATACGGAGCCTCTTAACTTAAGCTTTTTTGACGGCATCTCTATTTGATTTTTTTTTCTTCCTTCATACTAAGAGCAACACTAGGGATGCATGCTATATCAGTATCATATTGATTATAGGACAAGTTAAATGATCAGTACTGGGCAATGAACAATACAAGCTGATATTGAATTCAGAAATAAATCAGCCATTGAACAATATGCATTAGGGCAATAGTGCAAGTGCATGAAGCAACTCACAAGGGTCTGATGGATGGCCTCAGAAGCCACAGCAGCTGTCCTCTGGCCCTCCTTAGCATCTTCAATCTTCTCAGTAATTTCTGGCAGTAACAGTTTCAACTCCTCAAGCTCGGTCTTCTCTTTTGCTGCCTCTGCACCTTCCGCCTTGTCGATCGCTTCCTGAAGCATAGCTGGTGGAACAGGGATGTGGTAATCAAGTGTACCGTGCTTGTTCATGGCAACTAATGTTATCAGCAAGCAGATCTTCAGTTAAAAGGAATGAAGACCAGCAAAAGCCCACTGTAAGAACGTTCCTACCAAGACGGCTTTCGATGACTTTGATAGATTTGGAGAAGTGCTCGATGGCTTGGCTGTACTGGGCTGTGTAGCTGTAAGTTGTGCCCAACTGGTAATGAGTCTCAGCCAAAAGACGGCTATGAGAGGGAAGGTGTTTCAGCTGCAAGGTTAAACACTCATTGAAGTCCTCCAGAGCCTGGCTGTAGTTACCTACATGAATCAAAGTGGAGAGACTTGGTGAAAGATGAAGTGTGATTTTGCCATTTTAAATGGTGGCTTGTGGTATCCAAAAGGGTCCTTAATACTCAGCTACTCTCTCTACATACACACCTGATTCAGCTCCAACTTCTCCAAGTTTCAGGTAAATTTGTGCTGCCATTAGCTGATCTTCTTTGCAGTCTTTTCTACAAAACAGAATAACCACCAGTGTTTTGAAAGGAGTTTGATCAAATGCAGTCGATCACTAGAGGTACAGACATACCTTTTATAAATCACCTTTGCAACCTCAAGCATCTCCCAGGCCAACTGCAGGTTGCCAACTTCATCCTCCTCACTTTCCTAAAAACACAACACAAATAAGCCACTAAATCAATGAAGGGAGAACAGAAAAAAAAAAAAAAAAAAAAAAAAAACACGATTACAAACCTTATCCTTTGAGTCACCCTCGGCATCCTCATCATCGTCGTCCTCATCGTCATCTGAAACAGAAAAATACATTAACACCGCAAATGATTTAATGTGAAGCCCATCACCATGCACACCATCAGAAGTGCTGCAGCTTAATCGAAATATTCTGTGGATCCACTAGCATTTAGAAGTAGATTCACCAGGTGAAAGTCATTAAATACTAAAATCTTGTGCTCCCCAGACTACCACACTTCACTACCTCCACCATCCTCTTCCATGGGTTCTTCAGTATCTTCATTTCCATTTTTCTCCTCTTCATCGTTTTCAGACTTTTCACTGTTTGACACAGTGATATCTTCCTTTTTAGAAGCACCTTCATCTTCACCATTTGACTTAACATCGTTGTCAGCTAGTTTCTCCTTTTCAGCAGGTTTTGCCTTGTCTTCACCAGTCTTTGCCTTGTCTTCAGCTAGTTTCTCCTTTTCAGCAGGTTTTGCCTCGTCTTCAGCAGTCTTTGCATTGTCTTCAGCTAGTTTCTCCTTTTCAGCAGGCTTTGCCTTGTCTTCAGCAAGTTTCTCCTTTTCAGCAGGCTTTGCCTTGTCTTCAGCAAGTTTCTCCTTTTCAGCTGGTTTCTCAGATTTAGGTGATGCTGCATCTGCTTCCTTTGGCACTTCAACTTCATTCTGCTTATCTTCTTGGTTATTCTGCTCACCTTCCCCCACCTCTGTTTCCACCTCTGACTGAGTTTTGTTGTCCTCTGACATGGCATCATAAACCTGTGCTCGAAGCTCATCTCTGGTTTTCTCTGCATTATAGTACAAATGGAGGGAGATTTCTAGGTTACAGTAAACATACCTTTTGATTGGAATAATAAAATTTTCAAATTGTGCTTTTTTCAATATATGCTGGCTTGAGCAGAAAACTGACAACAGTCCATTTGGAGGTTCTTTGGAAACATCCTTTTTGCAGATGTGATGTCTAGCCTTGAGCATGTATGAAAAAAAAACAAAAAGTGATCAGTTTTAACCAACAAACAAAGCTCTTTAAATACAAACCATCCAAGTTGTCAGCACTTTCAATCTTAGAGTCATTCTGTTTCTCGCCCTCTTCAGAGGATTCTTCTGGGACTCCCTCTAAAGCATTACCAAGCACAGTATTCTCCATCCTAGAAAAAGTTATTAGCATTAGCAAAAGTTATTAAAAAATAATCCATTCAATGCTTAATTCAGATACCTGGCAAGCTCCAGAAGGGCCTTTCCACACAAGAAAAAAGCTTCCCCACATTCATCTGCAGTGTCTCCATACTTCTCAGCTCTTAATGGGGAGATGAAAATGTACACACCATAATAGTAATATTAATTGGTATCTGGCATACTCTGCATGTATGACACGTTCTCTATCCATAATACAGGTTGTATCCCCATTCACTACTCACAGCATGGCACAAGCCTCCTGGAAGACACTGACTGCCGACACAACATCACCCATCACTAAGTGCCGGTTGCCTGTGCCAATCAGCTTCTTTGCTTCCTCAGTAACATCGACGGAGCTGCAAAGTTCACAAATATGTGTGTAACGAATCTCAATAGTTACTTTATTGAAATGAGCAATTTAATAAAATGAATAATTCCAGATACCAACTAACCTGTCTGCGGCGCTTGAGGAGCAAGGTTTTACCCCCATACTGCAGACAAAAAATAAAAGAAAGGGTCATACAACTATTTAAAAAAAAGTACTGTTGCGTGTTAAGAATTTCTAACGGGAGTAAAACTTCACCAAAGTTTTGAAAAAAAAGAAAGAAGTTTTGGAGCAGGAGCAGTAAATTTAGCGCGATGCTACGACTAGTACTAATCGACAGTAGAGCAAACATCTACACGTGGAAATGAATGGCATTTAACTTCACCGTTTAAAATGTTAGTATAATAACCAAAGTGAGTAATTTAAAGAGTTACTTGTGTCGTTTTAAACTTAACGCTGGACTTCAGCGCGTGTGCAGCCATTTCATTCCCGCGGCAAGCTCACTGACGGGCCGTGAACAAAGCGGGAATTTCCTCATTTATGGTGAATAAACAAGCTAACCGTTCATATTAATCCTTCTCCCGCCAACAGAAAGCAGCCAAACACAACACGGCGACGGGAATCAACGGTGATGCCATCCCGTCGCGTGCGACGATGTCCGGGTGCGGGAGAAAAGCGAACTGAAGCACGAGCGCGAGGCATTTTTCCTGACAAGGACGAAGCTGCTGCAGCTTTGTTATCAAACGAAACCAGCCAAAACCTCTCACTTTGACTTCCTTTAACTTATGTTTACTTCCCTGGTTTGAGAACGCACTTAATTTAAACATGATATTTTACCTTTCGGCAGTTGAAGCAGATGCTGTTTCCTCGGGCATCTTAATGCGTTAAATAAACTACGCCGCAATGTACTATTGGATGATGTTTGTGAAGCTGCTCCTGAATTAGTCTTTGTTGGCGCCTTTAAATACGGATACAAGCTGTACTTCCGCTGAACTACGACCCTCCTGTCACAAAAACGCGGGAGAAATAATTTAAAGGGCAAGTAACCGCTGCCGCTACAGCCACAGGCACTGGTCAAGATGAATTAAAAGTCTATTTTTATCCAGATTTTGTTAGTTATATTTCGCACTTAAGGTCAGCTTGAAATTAAAATAGACTCTGTTCACTTTCTTAAAGCACGTTGTCAGTGTTATTGTGAATGAAATATAAGTTTAGTGTATTTTTTTAGTATTATTATATATATTCCATTATTCTATTAATATATTATATAGCAACTTTACTTTTCAGCTGACCATACCAAGATAATTTTTTTCTCTTTCCTTTTTACAATCTAATAAGATTCCTTTTATTTATTGTTTTGCATTATGTCTTTCTTTACAAAGTCTTTTTATTGTAATGTGTCTGGGTGTCTAAATTTACTATTGTTATTATTTTAATTTCCATTAATGTCAATAAAAGTATAAAATAAAGGTTGTTCATATAATACTACCATGTTTTTGCAATGATTTCACATAGCAGTAATGACAGTTTTTTTTCATTGTGGTAATTAGAATGCTTAATTGTCATGCAAATAATGTCAAAATGAAATAAATACCCTTAAATGACCATTTAAACTTAAAGGTGCATATATATATATATATATATATGTGTGTGTGTGTGTGTGTGGACCATTATTTCATTATGCAAAATAGCAATTTGTTGTTTCATTTTTAGGGGTAATAATCAAGACATGTTCTTGACAGGTTTCATAAAATTTACTTGTGAATACATCTAAAATAAGCCCTTGTTCATAAATGTCCATTCCATGCTTGACAAAAACAAACAAGCACATATTTCAATATGTAACAAAAAATTTTATTGTGTTTATATGTACACAGAGTAGTGAATGGACGTCACATTGGTGTCAAGGCACAGAATCTTGCAGAAGTGTGCGTTAATAGGGGTCATTAAAAGGGTAGTGAGGATGTCCTGCGTCTCGGGGTACAGGCTTATCATCAACCTACAAAAAGTAAAAAGACACAAAAACACTCAATTCAATTTTAAAACAGATGCAAAACATACATAGTGTTGGAGTGCATTTGACTTGGCACAGTCTTGAATGCAGCAGATTCAGCATCAGATTTACTTTTGAAGTAACCTTTTTGTTACTGTAAAATGTAGTGCTATGTTGTGGCTTTATAGTAATATAACTTACAGTAATGGTTGGAACAATGTAACGCCAGCCTCTGTGCAATGCAGTCACTTGACTAATTTCCTCAGGTTCAAGAGTAAAATCAAAGACCTGTAAATTAGCAGAGCAGTGCATTGTTACAATACAAGGTCATAAACAAAGAGGTGGAAGAATCAAGAAAAACTTGCAGAAACCTGGATATTCTCTTTGATCCGAGACTGTGTAGTGCTCTTTGGGATAGTCACAACTCCTCGTTGAGTTTGCCATCTGCCAAAATAACAATGAGGAAATACTATGTAATATTCGGTCAAGAAATATGAAATATGACAACTGGTGCAAACGCATGAATTTACCTGATGATAATTTGCGCAGAAGTCTTGTTGTATTTCTTGGCTAGCGCAGCAATGGCTGGTTCCTCCAACAGCACAGGTTCCTCTGGATGCTTCCAGGCTCGGTCAGGAGATCCAAGCGGACTGTAGGCAGTCATCACCAATCCCCGATCCCGACAGTGAGCCAACAGCTCAACCTGGGCAAGGTATGGATGGGACTCCACCTGCAAAACACTATTGTTACTCTACCAACTGATATAATAGACCAAATAAATTAGGACATCACATTTTCTTCTGACCTGTAAAACGGTGGGTTTGATGCTTGCAACTGCTAAGATGTCATCAATCTGCCTGCTGTTGAAGTTCGAGAGCCCAATGGCCCTGACAAGCCCCTTTCCCACAAGTTTTTCCATAGCAGCCCATGTAAGCTTGTAGTCTATATCATCATACAGCAAAGTTCCATCCTCCTTCCTAGGAAAAGAGGTATCACCTCGTCTGGACAAAAATAAGAGGAACACTACACTGGCATCTGAGAAAAGACATTAAAGGGATAGTCCACCCAATAATTCTGATATTTTACACAAGAAGATATTTTGAAGAATGCTGGCATTCAAACAGTTTCAGTTCTCATTGACTTCCATTATATATTTTGACCATACATTACAATAGAAGTCAATAGGAACCGAAACTGATTTCTTCAAAACACCAGCATTCTTCAAAATATCTTTTTTTGTGTGTTACACAGAAGAAAGAAAGTCATGCAAGTTTGGAACGACATGAGGGAGAGTAAATGATGACGGAATTTCCCCTATCCCTTTAAGAGCACTTTATAGTTCATTCCCCAAAGGAGACAGGAAAATGTCACATGTTTATATTGCCAATAAACAATACACCCTAGATAAGACAACAGTAGACTTTCACAGAGTCTTGCACCCTTTCAATCTCTTTTATTAATATTTTTTTATCATCTTTAATTTTTACCAAATTAACACACATCTTTAATGTGTGTTTATTATATATGTATATATATATACACCACAACCGAGTGCTTACTGGAAGGCATATGGCCAATGGATGAGGTAGAGGTCCAGGTACTCCAGCTTCAGGTCTTTCAAGGTCTTTAACAGAGATGGCTCCACATCATCTGGGTGGTGTTTGGTGTTCCACAGTTTGGAGGTCACAAATACATCCTCTCGCCTGATTCCCTTGAAAGAGGACAGAGGTTGTAAAGCACACATGATTCCTTTATATATATACAGTAAGTGTGGGTATATTTCATATATGTTTTCAACTTAGTTGACCTACTTTTTCAGGCCCCATCATTTCCTGGAAAGCTTCACCGATCTCTGGCTCATTCGCATAAATGGGAGCACAGTCAATGTGCCGATAGCCAGATTGCAAAGCCCAAATGACTGCCTGTTTTACCTGGAGATGACAACATATTTATACAAAATACTTATTGAAGTTCTACATACAAATCAAACACAATAATTTATGTAAATGTTTATTGAATAACAATATATACTAAAAATAAATGATACATCAATGAACTGTATATCCTGGTAAACTCGCCCTCGTCCTTAAAACATCATAAAGATTCCAATTCTGTCATGATTACAGTTGAGCTGATGTACTAAATACACTCACCTGTCCAGGTTCACTCTTCCATGTCCCAAGTCCCACAAGAGGCATCTTTCGCCCAGTGCTGAGGACAGCAAAATCATTCATACTCATCCTGTGTGCCTTCAGAGAAAAGAAAACAAAGAACACAATATGAACAGTGTTCAAACAGAAGAAAGCATGGAATAGACTTTAGTATATTAACTTTTTGATTTAATGTACTAGTAATTCAATCCAAACCCTAAACACTCACAGAAAGGCAGCAGAAGGCGTAGGGTGAATGAATGCTAGCTATGCAGTGCTCAAAATTCAGGATCAGAATGGAAGGAAGTGTAACATGCTGACTTATCAGCTGACTTCCACATCAGCTCTAGCAGGATATTGTAAAACACCCTGAACAGCATTTTAGAAAATTAATAATAAGAATGTGTCTGAGTCTTTGCATTTTATATAAAGGGAGGTTGAATCATGTCAATTTCATTCATTACTGGCACTCCCCAGTCATTATTCTATAAGTTTCCTCCAGATTTTCTAGTTAGTGCAGTAAATCATTAGACATTTGGTTAACGTACCACTCTTCGACAGTAAAACTTGTGAGAATGAATAAGACGAAGAGCACGTTGAATATGCTGCATTTCTCTCGGCAAAATCAGGTCAACCAGAGTCCCATGTGGCTTATCATTACAAGGAATGTCAGGGATAGTTTTTTAAATGTTATTGGTTCAGATACTTACTGTGTATGAATAGGATAAGAAAATGTCTCCACTATAAAGCTATCCAGGTTGATCAATTTTTTTTGAATATTTTCTCATAACGTTGACGTATTTACTTCCCGTTCGCTGTCTTCTAAAAACACCCGTCAAAATAAAAGTCTCCATAACAACAAACAGAAACAGTCTTTACATTTGCATTTAAATAATTTCATCATCGAAAGATTGCCTTTCCTAGTTTAGGTGTCAATAATACAAATTAAAATGTACACTACATGATAGAGAAAAAAAATCCCATGTCATTTTAATTATATAAAAATAAGATGATTAATCTGAAGTGTTTCTATGTGAAAGTAAATCTAAGTGAATCTTTATTTAACTACCCTTTGTACTCTTCAGCCTATCTTTTATTTAGCGGATTACCCACTTTTATATTTACAAGAAAATACATACTTCATCTCCCCCTGAAATTAGGTGCAGTTTTGCCAACTCTATCCCAAGCTTTCTCTTTGCTCTAGGTGTTCAATTCAGTTATAGAATCAAATGTACCACCAGAGAATTCACCAAATTCAGAGACTGAAATCATATACAAAACTAATAATGAAAACAATTTTTCTTGTATACAGTTTCAATCGTTGTCTTTATAACAGGAGGCATTGAAACTACAATACATCAAATGTTTATTTTACATGGTACAGTTAATTCCGAATGAAAAAAAAACAAACATTCATGGTTGCCAATTTCACTTAAAGGTATAAAACAGCATCAAAAACCACAGAGAACTAAATTGTCCTTGGGTGATTTACACAGAATAAGGTCAAGCTATTTACGACAGAAATTGCTCTGTTTCTCCATATAATTCAAAGCACAAAAAAAATCTATAAAAACAGAAAGAAAAAGAAAAACTGAGATCACTCTTTTTCTCTTCGACTTCTCTTGTGACTCTTCTTCGACCGACTAGAACACAAAGAGATAAATGCAGCATTAAAACAAGAAAAAACAAAGAAGTAATAATGAAGTAATAACAACCATTTAAATTGAGCATTACCTTTCTGGGGACTTGGAGTGACTGCGATGCCGGTGACTTCTGTGGTGACCTGAAAAAAATAGACCAATATTTCCCTAATGACCAGTTTTTCCATTTACTAGGGGTGTGACGAGACGCTTATCTCACGAGACGAGACTAGACACGAGATTGGGTTCACGAGAACGAGACGAGACGAGATTTTTGCACAATTTTTCAGAAATCCTCAATGACAAAATTCATGGCTGGAAAAATAGTATGCAGGTGCATTTTTCAATGTTTTAACTAATAGTCTTCTAATGCATGTCATTTCAGGTCTACTTTATGAGTATGAATTATCAAATGCATTGAAAGAAAACAATATTCAAGCACTGTAAAAGGTTTTTATTGACTGGCTTTTCTCCTGTATAATTTCACATTAGTCTCTTCAGACCTTACTGTACATTTAAGAGCTTTCAGAACTTCTGATTGAGGCTGTGTGTGACCTCCTAACTGAACTCCTTTTAACACACATTTAACAGAGAAATAAAAACCGTATAAATAACAAAAATAAATAACTGTTTTCTCTTAGTCTTATTAAGTGCAAACAATAAGTGCGAGTGCAACCATAATCAAAGTTAGCACACAGACTCTTTATAATTGTTGTGAAATTGCGGTTTTATTTTGCACCGGCAGTTATAGGGTTAATGCGGTGAGTTGGGAAAAGGCCGAGAGAAACGAGGCTGTTTGTCTCTACAGTTGTTCTTGCGTTCCGATTATAAGTTCAGAAACGGAGCCTCCCTTGTCTGTTGTCCTTTGTACGTTACAGTGCTCTCTCAATATTCGCAGTGCCAACAGAGACCAGAGCCGCAAATAAACAGTCCAGAGATGGGTATTAGGAGACGGATTATTTTATGTATGCAGCCTAATTTGTGAGCAATGCACATCAGGGAGCTTGTGTTTTACTTTCACTTACAAATTCGTGACCGCGCGTATAGGGAGCAGCGGTGCTGAGCGCGCATTCTACAAGATAAGACATTTACCAGACGTTTAGTCTGTTGCGCAACGAATCCTCCGCCATCGTCACGCGATCAGTGAACTGTGATTCGTGCTGCACTGATTGCAACGGCAACTCGCGCTGGATGAGCAGAGCAGACTTTTGCATTAGTTTAATGGTTTTTATTTTTTTATAAAAACAACAAAACGATAGTTTAGGCGAATGTGAGTGTAGCGGTGGAATATTAATGGGGATATCGCGAGACAGCTTTTTCACTCGACGAGAAATCTCGTCATATTTAGTCTCGCGAGATCTCGTGGCACGAGATCTCGTCACACCCCTACCATTTACTATAATATTTTTTAAATAACATATTGTGGTGTCTTATTTTCTTTGTGTACTTCAAAACAGCTTGACTGTACCTGGAGATTTGGAGCGATGCCTTCGGTCCCTGGATCTGCTGCGGTGTCTACGGGGACTTTTGCTTTTGCTTTTGCGGTGGCGGTCCCGGTCCCGGTCGCGATCACGTCTGGGTGATGGGCTGAATAAATGATATATAAAGTAATCAGACAAATGTATTAAATTGTATAATCACCTATAATAATGTGCCAAACCAATAATGAATCTAAAATACATTGCATTCCATTACATACCTTCGTCTTTTAGGTGATCTGCTCCGTCTAGAAAAAGACAATCAGAACACAAATTATTCAACTGTTCAGTTATGAATATTATCAACCTGAAATAATGATTGCATTTAAATGACAATTAGCACCATCACTTACCTTCTGGGTGAGCGGCTGCGTCTGTAGCGTGGAGATGGAGACCTGCGTGGCCGGTCCATATCTCTGTAACTTCTTCTGTGTGGCTCTGGTGTCTGCACTCTCTCTGGCTGCAGGACACGAGAGGTTGTAGAACAATCATATTCACAAGATATAATCAGTTATTGTCAGACATTGTGGGTTCCCTTTTACCTTCTCTTCTTCATCATCCTCCTCTTCACTGGTCTCCACCTCATCCAGGTCTTCTTCCAGGGCACTAATACGAGTATCCAGTAGCTCAGCTTCCTCCAAAACCTGTCTCTTCTGTGAAGAAAAAACAACAACAAATGAACAAGTGGACACATTATTTTATGACATGTTTGACTCAGTACACTTCCTTTTAAATTCACATTACTCCAAATAACACCACAAATAAAATAGGTTGTACATGTGAAAAAGAAAGTACACCCTTTTGAATTCTATGGTTTTATGTATCAGGACATAAAATTAAAAAAAAATCATCTGGTCTTTAAATTAGGGAAATACAACCTCCAATGAACAACAACACATGACATGTTACACTGTTTCATTATTTAACAAAAATAAAGCCAAAATGAAGAAGCCATGTGTGACAAACTAAGTACACCCATGATTTTATAGCTTGTAGAGACACTTTTAGCAGCAATAACTTGAAGATATCATTTTCTATATGACTATATCAATCTCTCCCATCGTTGTGGAGGAATTTTGGCCCGCTCTTCTTTACAACATTGCTTCAGCTCATTGAGGTTTGTGGCCATTTGTTTATGCACAGCTCTCTTAAGATCCCGCCACAGCATTTCAATCGAGTTTGGACTCACTGAGTCAATGCAACACCTTGATTCTTTTTCAGCCATTCGGTTGTAGATTTGTTGGTGTTATTGGGATTATTGTCCTGCTGCATGACCCAGTTTGGGCCACGCTTTAGCTGTCTGACAGATGGCTTCACATTTGACTCTAGAAAACTTTTGTATACAGAGGTGTTTATGGTCGACTCAATGACTGCAAGATGCCCAGGTCCTATGGCTGCAAAACAAGCCCAAATCATCACCGCGTTCGACAGATGGTATGATTGTGCTGAAATGTTGTGTTTGGTTTTCACCAAATGTGGTGCTGTGCATTATGGGCAATCATCTTCACTTTGGTTCCAGAAGTCTTGTGGTTTGTTCAGATGCAACTTTGCAAAGCTAAGCGCAGTGCTGCTATGTTCTTTTTACAGAGAAGACGTTCTCCTTTTTAGGTTCTCCTAGCAACCCTTCCAAACATGCCATACTTGTCCCGTCTTTGTCTAATTGTACTGCCATAAACTTTAACATGCTAACTGAAACCTGTAGAGTCTGAAGTGAAAATAATACCTTGAGAGGTAGGGCCTAATCTTTTTATTTTACCTCTATTTCTTTTCGTGTTAATCACGGAGATCACAGAAATGACCACTCAAAAGACAAATGAGGTGCAGGAGTATTTTGAATTAGTAATAAAATGGAAAAGTTGTATGCAAGCTGTCTGTGCCATGTAAAACTGGCATAATTCCACTAGAGCCACGTGTAACCATATTCAGGACACGCACGTAGGTGTGATAGTCGAAGCAAGCAAATGCCCATCGCGTATTCACTTAAACTCCTAAAAAATAGCTGAGCTTCAGAATCAGGATCAGAATGAGCTTTATTCGCCAAGTGTGCGGTGTTTAGTGGCATTTATGATGGGATTTGACTGTTTGATTCATAGATTGTTTCAAATGGATCATATATACACAAGTCTTTAAAGGGTTTCCTACTTTTAGACTAATCGGTTACAAAACTTCAGTTTAAACAGGGTCCTTTTTATAAATTCAAATTTTGTCTTGTGGACTATATGTAACAATATTTAATGTAAAATATCTTATTTATGTTAAAAATAACATGCAATTTGCATGATCCCTTTTATGTTGTTAAAATAATTAACATCTTGCAGATTCTGAAAGGTGTATGTAAACTTTTGACCACGACTGGCACTACATGTAACAAGTACAACCAACCTGAAGTCTTGGAAGGATGATGTCACACATCCGCTCTGCATGAAGAAGCTCATCTATGAACTCATCGACATGCATCAACTCAAACTCTATGTAAAGAAGACACATTATTTGCATTTTTTTTTCTGCAAGGGAGAAACTTTCAATGCATTTACCTAATGAATATTGAATCTATAAAGTAAATTGATCACCTCCATTTCTATTCTGGCTTTTGATTTTCCTGTAGTCATTGTATAATGGTTCTAAATACTTGTAGCAATCCACAGAAGTTCCAGTCAGGCGCATATACATCGCTCCAAGCAAACGGACATACCTGGAGTGGGGAAAAAAGCAGTACAGTAATACAAAAGGTGTAAATGTCAATTAATACAGATAAGAGTAGTAAACTGCACACTAACTTGAAGTCCTCATTCTTGATGAATTCCACAATGATGTCCTTTTCAGGCTGAATCTGCAGCATCTTTAGTGTCAGACATAAGAATGGAGTAGGCTTGATGTTTCCTCCATATACACCACCAACAAACTTTAGCTCCATTGCTTTGTCCACGACAAGCTCAGCTACATTTTACAGAGGGGCAATAACAGGGACAATTAAAAATGGTGCTTGGAACATTAATTCCATAAAACTATTCATATGGAAATATATCAGGTAAATGTTATATAACAGATCATAACCCAATAAAGGATACTGCATCATATACAATAGATGAACTTTTAAGGCCTCTAAATTTTCAGTATGACGATCACAACTATGCTGTAAAAACTGCTGTACACAATCTTGTAATTGCCTTCTTTGCTCTAATTGACAGTTCATACTTTTTAGTAAGTAAAATACCTTTTAGTATAATTCTAAAAATGTCCACCTACAGGATGGTAGTTGGTACACGTTTTTTTTTGCTGTGAAATCTTTAATGATTTTATAAAGTAAACATAAGAATAACTTTTTAATATCGTTAGTAATATTTCAAGATGAACATTAACCGGACTGAAGTAACTTGGTTTCACTTGATTATCCATACATCTTTCTTTTTTTTTTAAATCATGTTACAATGTAGGTATCAAATATAATACAACAGACTTTTGAGGAACATTTCTTGTACACAACCACAGAGCTTTGATCATAAAACGAATTGATTATTATTAATCATCTTACTGAGACATATTATTGGGAGATATGGGTCCGGTTTCACAGACAAGGCTTAAGCCAGGATTATGCCTAAATTCAATTAGGAATCTTGAGGAAAAAACAATGGCACTGAGTCACTGACATATTTTAAGATATGTAGGAGCAAGTTTCTTTCAGCTAAACCAGCTCAAACGTGCATTTTAGTCTGGAACTAGGATTAAGCCATGTCTGTGAAACCGGCCAATAGAGTGACTGACAACTGATATTTGTATGCATTTCATGTAAGCAGTCAACTATACTATTAAAATAAACATCAAATTGATAAACATTACAGTATTTCATCTTACCTTTTTAGCCATTTAAATAACAACATCTGCACCAAATTGCATGTTTTCTCAATAAAATGTATGTCCCCCCCCCCCCCCCCCCCCATCCCTCCCCCTCCCCCCCATCCCTCCCCCTCCCCAAGTTTGAGCTTCATCATACTATCTGGACCATAAAAGCATTTTTAAGGTAAATAACAACGTTACAGTTGTTTGCGATGCCACATGACCAAATACAGTAACGTTATGTAGTCCGGCACACTTGTCTCACCTGTAAGTCCAAAGCATTCCTCTTTCCAGTACTTGGACTCATATATGCGTGTCCGTATAATCTTCTCGACAAGATACTGGGGATTTGTTCCATGTATACTATTGGCATCTTTTACCGTTCTATTTGCCATGGTGGCTTACAGTTTTAAACGAACAAACGAATCAACGATACACCAGATACACTAGTATGCCATGGAGAAATACTGTCGAATGACTTCCGGGGAAAAGCGTGCGTCACATCCCTAAGGTCAAGCGATATTTTACTGTCCAATCAAAAACCTTTCTACGTCATCTGCGCGCGAAAGAGTCGAGTTAGCTGTTTGATTGTGTTCTCTGTCCGCTGTGCTGTAAGATGCTTTTAACTTCATGCATATTTACATTTTAATTTCCGAGTTTCTAAGTGAGAAGGAGACGCAATAGTGTTTTTATTTATACGTTTAATAAGACCGCCTGATACTGTTGCAAACATCAGCTGGTGAGTAAGAAAGAGGCGCTGGGGATTTAAAGTTGTGTAACGTTACGTTAAAGTTACATACGGGACGATTTTGCTATTTGATACCTTAAAATAAAGAAGATGTTTTTAACAGTTTGATATGTATTCTTAACTTTTCTATATTTAGGCTTTCAAATAAAACAATAGTTAGCTTAGTTTCTGGTTACAGCTGGAAACTACAGTCAATTGTTTTTTTAGTTGGTCAAGACCATAGACTGTAAAAAAAATAGGTCAAGACCCAGTAGGAGTAAAGTTATTCTCTTGGATAGTATATCTCAGGCATTCGTAGGAAAATATTTCACTTTAAATTATTGTAGGCTATATAATAATATTTCGAAATTCCACTTGTATTGTGAATATGATGTATTTAAGCAATATTGATAACAGACCCATTTTATATATGTACGTGTGTGTGTGAGTGAGAGAGTGAGAGTGTGTGTATATACTGTATATGTTTATGTATGTATCTATGTTTGTATATATGCTTGTAATGTATAATCAGGTCTCTCTGGAAGAAGAGATAGTGATATCTCAATGTGATTCTCCTGGATAAATAAAGGAAATAATAATAATGGGTCTGGTTGCCATTGTTACTGTTTTGACTATAGAGTACATAATATAATAATTAGGTCATAAACTGATGCTGTGCTTTACAGACCTAGTATCAGATCTGCACCATGAGCCGCTACATCACAAGACTGAGAATGAGAAGAACATACAAATGGAATGGTAGACCAGTCGGTGAAGACAGGAAGCTAAGAAGGCAATATTATGAGTATGTGAACTTATCACGTTTTCATCATCACTGAGACAGACATGTGCATAGATAGAACTCTAGATATGTTTCTACTTTAAGGGACAACTTGTAAAAATTAGGGAATTTAAGATTGTTATTTGATTGTGGGGCCTTGAAAAGTAATGGAAATTGTATAGTGTATATGAAATTTATTGGTTAACATTCAGTTCTAAAATGTCTAATTGGGTAGAAATTGGTCTTTCTGAGGGCAGTCTCTAAAATGTTTCCAGTAATCATAAGCAAAGTCATGAAAATTCATTAAAAGATGATATAACCCCGGATGTAACGGCAATAATGCTTGCTTTCTTTGATCCCCACACAGATCTATGTCCATTTCTGTGGAGGGAAGGACTGAAGATTCAACAGTGTCTTTAGGCCAGTACATTTTGATTGAGGGTGATAATGATGACAATCCCTTTGTGGCGCAACTTCTGAAACTGTACACTGATGGTAGGAACATGTCATGTCTTTATCCAAAATATGTATATTTGCATGCTTTCTGAGTCTGACTATAATCTGTGTTGGTTGATGTTGTATTTGTACCCAGATTCAGGAAAGAAGAAGACTGCTGTAGTGCAGTGGTTTGTGCGTATGTGTGAAGTACCTCATAACAAACGCAAGCTCTTGGGCAGAGATCCCCATCCACAGGAGGTATTTTTCTACCAGGACCGCTCTTGTGAAAATGAGGTGGATGGAGAGACCATTCTTGCTGCAGTACAGGTACACATGGTATACACAAGTTTATGAGCCGTTTCCGCTCTACATCCTAAACTCCTCCCGTCGATGCAACCCACTTCCGTTCTGGCGGTCTGGGTTTGTTTTGCTAGCTAGCTTCGACAAAGCGCTGATATCGCAGTGACATAACAATTACAACATGAAGAAAGGTGGTTCGGGAACGATGTGTGTGATAGTTGGTTGTAAACACTCGAGAAAGCACCTGAACGAGTGGTTAGATAGAGAGTTCTACGACCGCAAACCAGCTACGAAGAGGTCCATGCGCTCCATTGTTTACACACAAACACACTCACACAGTATCGCGCCCGCGCCTCTCTCTCACACACAGTTCGATCGCCTAATTATTATCATCATGGCTCACACACACACACACACACACACACTTTGCACTCTAGCTAAGAAGCCTATGATATAGTTCGGATCGTCAGGAGGACATTCACTGACAGCGCGTTCTCTTTTGTCTAGTCGCGCATGAGTGGTTAAAGCATTTGCGTGAATAAGAGAATGGTCATAACCCTAGCAAAAGGATGACAGAAAGAACAGATGTTGCGTTTGCATTAAATATTTTAACACGTTAAAGCTGGACAAAAATGAATCGGGAAAATATTTTTCTCACGGCCGCACGCCGGAGATCCGGCACGGTGGCGAAAAGTGATTGCATTATTTATTGCAATAAGTAGAGGCTTCAATCGTTTTGTTGTAAGTAGAATAGGCTACTGCATTTTAAGGGGTTAGTTTCGACATTTAAAGGTATTTTAACCGGTAAAATGGTTGGTTGGTACACAGCAGGTAAAACAATGCAGAGTCATAAGGATAATTGCAAAAGAGATCATGTCTTTATTTATAGCTCAGCAGTAAGTCATGTTATAGGTTACAGTCCGTTTTCCAAATACAAACACGTATTCCATCCGCAACAACATGCTTCTTTTATTTCCTATAATCATGTAAATGTCTTCCCTGATTAAGCTATAAACTGCAAACACTTATTTAGCCACAATTGTTGTTATTATGTTAAAAGAAACATTAAAGTAACACACAGATACATTTGCTATTACCACGGACATAAACTGATAGTTATTTGCACGTTATGTCTGTTTTATCTAGCTGTGTATGACATGACACAACCGACTTTGTTGCTGTGCAGATATTGATATGCCTCGACGGCTTTCAGATTGTCCAATTGCTTTTCCATCTATTGCCATGGATTGCACGAAGTAGGAGCAAATCTCGCTGTACGTTATGCTGGGCCACGTCGTCATGTTAGTGTTCTGCACTGAATTCGGGTGGGGGATAGTAACGCCATCTCCAGTCGTGGAACCGTCGCTGTGTACACCGGCAGACGCTGTGTGCAAACCTCTTCCGGCGGAAATGAAGTGCATTTAAGTAGAGTTATGGCGGCGCCCATGATTTGGCGCGTAAACTTGTGTATAGCTCATCATATTTTTGTGAATGTGCATCACATTAGTACAATCAATAAGTGCTTGCATAGTTGTTTCAAATGATTTATTTATTTTTAAATTTTTGTCCTCTAGAAAAGTATTTGAATTAGTGCTGTCAAATCGATTAATTGTGATTTATCGCATCTAACATAAAAGGTTTTGTTTATATAATATATGTGTGTATATATATTTATACACACCCATATATGTATGCAGAGAGAGAAAGACTACAATTCACATATACACTCACCGGCCACTTTATTAGGTACCCCATGCTAGTAACGGGTTGGACCCCCTTTTGCCTTCAGAACTGCCTCAATTCTTCGTGGCATAGATTCAACAAGGTGCTGGAAGCATTCCTCAGGGAGTTTGGTCCATATTGACATGATGGCATCACACAGTTGCCGCAGATTTGTCGGCTGCACATCCATGATGCGAATCTCCCGTTCCACCACATCCCAAAGATGCTCTATTGGGTTGAGATCTGGTGACTGTGGAGGCCATTTTAGTACAGTGAACTCATTGTCATGTTCAAGAAACCAATTTGAAATGATTAGAGCTTTGTGACATGGTGGAAGTAGCCATCAGAGGATGGGTACATGGTGGCCATAAAGGGATGGACATGGTCAGAAACAATGCTCAGGTAGGCCGTGGCATTTAAACGATGCCCAATTGGCACTAAGGGGCCTAAAGTGTGCCAGGAAAACATCCCCCACACCATTACACCACCACCACCAGCCTGCACAGTGGTAACAAGGCATGATGGTTCCATGTTCTCATTCTGTTTACGCCAAATTCTGACTCTAACATCTGAATGTCTCAACAGAAATCGAGACTCATCAGACCAGGCAACCTTTTTTACAGTCTTCAACTGTTCAATTTTGGTGAGCTCTTGCAAATTGTAGCCTCTTTTTCCTATTTGTAGTGGAGATGAGTGGTACCCGGTGGAGTCTTCTGCTGTTGTAGCCCATCCGCCTCAAGGTTGTGCGTGTTGTGGCTTCACAAATGCTTTGCTGCATACCTCGGTTGTAACGAGTGGTTATTTCAGTCACTGTTGCCCTTCTATCAGCTCGAACCAGTCTGGCCATTCTCCTCTGACCTCTGGCATCAACAAGGCATTTCCGCCCACAGAACTGCCGCTCACTGGATGTTTTTTCTTTTTCGGACCATTCTCTGTAAACCCTAGAGATGGTTGTGCGTGAAAATCCCAGTAGATTAGCAGTTTCTGAAATACTCAGACCAGCCCTTCTGGCACCAACAATCATGCCACGTTCAAAGTCACTCAAATCAACTTTCTTCCCCATACTGATGCTTGGTTTGAACTGCAGGAGATTGTCTTGACCATGTCTACATGCCTAAATGCACTGAGTTGCCGCCATGTGATTGGCTGCTTAGAAATTAAGTGTTAACGAGCAGTTGGACAGGTGTACCTAATAAAGTGGCCGGTGAGTGTATATATATATATATATTTATTTATACACGCAAATATTATATAAACAAAAACTTCTGTTCAATGCGATTAATCGCAGTTCATCGATTTTATAGCACTAATTTGAATTTATTTAATTTTATGATAACATTTCTATAGGGTTTATAAACACGGTAAAAAGTTTTTAATAATTATGATTTTTTTAAAAAATGTTTTTGAAAGAAGTCTCTTATGCTCACCAGTCTGCATTTATTTGGTGAAAAATACAGTAAACCAGTCATTTTTTAAATTGTAATAATAT